AAAAAAAAAAAAAAAAAAAAAAAAAAAAAAAAAAAATTGGTCGATAAATTCAGGTGATGTCAGTCTGATTATAAAATTCCCCATCAACAGTCATCAGCAGTTCACTGAATGGTTTCAGCTTCTTTGGATGATCACCTGCCTAGATCAGTGGTTTCTCAGAGTGCGGTCCACAGACTTACAGCATCTGCATCACTTGGAAATTTGTTAAAAATGCAAACTACTGAGCCCCACTCCTGATCTAATGAGTCAGAATATCTGGGGAAAGAGTTGCAATCTTTATTTTAACAAGCTTTTCAGATGATTCTGATATATGGTAAAGTTTGAGAACCACCAGCCTGGATCCATAATAATTTCTTTAGTATTACAAAATGGCGACTGTCTAATCCCATCATTCCTTCTGCATCTATTAACTGGAATTCTTCTATTAAGAGCTTTTCTTTACCAACTATTTGGTTACTCTGAAAAACAGTTTATATAGGAAAGTCTTGATTCTATTTATCAATTTTCAAAATAATAAGCAAATACCCCACCCCATCAACCACCACTACTGACCAATACAATTTGAAAGGAGGCTTTTTTTGGAGTATTTATATACTTGAAATATTTTACCCTTTGTCATAATTCTTAATGTCCAAATTGTCTCGTCTTAGGTTGGTGTGAACCCCTTCAAGATGACTCCCATGACCCTGTAACAAAAACTCTGATAGTCTTTTACAGCTTCCTTACTTTCTGGCACAAGATGTCCCTAGCTCAACTTGTACATTTTCTGTCCAAGACTTAGAGTCGACCATTTCTCTTAGAAACTGGTTCGTTTTAGTAAAGAATAGTATCTAAAACCACAGCCTGGAAGGCAGTGGTATTCACTGCTACTGGGTTATCAATGTTCCCAGGCCTTTTCAGGGGACAGATCTAGGAAATACAAATGTTTTTATGAAAAGAAATCATGAGTTCCTACTGATATATGCAGAACTACCTCTTCATTCTTATGCTTAAAATCTTGGTTCCTAATGACATTAATATAATCACTTATTTATTCTGCAATAGACTTAAATGACAATATCCATTTTCACCTAACAACAAAACTATTGAATGCATTTAAGAATTTTGCAGGTCTTCATATCATTCCACCAGCTTGAGATAAAACTTATTTTTCATTTGTTTCCATTTTCCATTTAAATTATTTTTATCTAATTTTGTTTCCTTTTTCCATTTTAATTATTTCTATCTAATTTTCTTATTTAAAATAATTACATGGTCCAAAGTCAAAACTATGTATACCAAAGTTCATTCACAGACATGTCCCCTGCATCCTGTAACTCTCTCTCTCCCTATAAGTAATCATTTTTACTAGTTTTTGGTTTACCCTTTCATTATTTCTCTTTGGAAAAAATATCTAGCAATACAAGGGTACTTCAAAAAGTTTATGGAAAAATAGAATTAAAAGATAATACAAATCCTTGCATGAACCTTTTGAAGACCTATCATATATTATGCACATAGATTCGTATTTCCTTCCTTGTTTATGCCTTTTACGTTCTGATTTCACAAAGATTATTGGCAGCAGTTTGGCTGTCACAGTTACAAGTTCTTCTCATTCCCTCAGATAAAAACTCTTCTAAAGGCTTGAACTCAATTACACAAGTGTATGCACTTAGTACTGTTTCCCCCCACTTTCTTAACAGGCTTAAGCTATTGTTTTCAAATCTGAAGATCCCTTTCCTTGATAGAGAATATGTATTTCCATCTTGTTATTATATAGAATATGTCCCAAGAAATTAGCTTATCTGTTCTTTTTCTTTCCTGTTCAAAATAACCAACAAAAACAATTTAGAATGTACTGTACATTCCCTATAACATCAGTCAACAAATAAACCATACCTAGGAAACACTGTGCTTTCTGTAAATTGCGGTGGTCCATTTACCATGTACAGTCCTTCTGATCCTCGGACTAAAGAAATAAAATGGGAAGAAACACCATTATTTTGCTAATAAAGACTCAGTTATCACCGATGTTTTTAAAAAACAAAAAGCTTTCAGTCAAAATATTACTGTTAGCAATATATAATGTTAGTAATCATAGGGCGCACTTTCTTACCCTACTACATAAAAATCATGTAACTGCTGAGAAATAAATATGTAACTTTTAGAAATAAAAACTTAATGAAAGAAAGTGAGACGAGATGCCGGGTACCATTCAAGCTTTATTAAAGGAGAAGAATCTACCAGGCTGTGCTCAAAGTGGGGAGCAGCCCGGGCCTGCCCTGAAAATGTTGGACAGCACCAGGTGTGGGGGTGGTAGAGCTTATAAGGGCTGGCTGATACCATCAAGGAGGGTCATTATGCTAATGTGTATCAGGGTGGAGAACTGTGTCCTTGTGGAAGCAAAAGGGGTTTCTGGTTAAGTCAGGAGGCTTCTCATAAAGGGATGGGGGGAGAGGAGGGGAGGAGGTGGGCGGCATCATTTTATACTTGGGCTTGTCTAAAGTGGCGCTGGTTGTTGCAGATCTATTATTCCTGCCTTTTAAGTATTGGGGAAAGGGCGGAGGTCTCATTCTTCTGAAGCTACTTCCTGCTGGAGATGGGTGAAGATATAGAAAAAATAAAAGATTTATGTTGGTGGATAAAACAATTAGGTGGCAGGGTATTGGTTTCCTGTGGGAGGCTGTATTCCTCTGGGGAAGGGTCACTGATTCTGAAGGGCTGATATCCTCCTCGCAGGAACAATTCGGTGCCCTTTTGGTTGGTGAAAGCCTGCATACATTCCTACAAGAAATTAGACAAACACCAAAAGAGACAGGGACCAAAAAGTAGGATGAGTCCCAGCACAGTTAGGGGTCCTAGTAGGGGCATAAGCCAGGGTATGTAAGGGTTAGGTAAAACGGTTTAAGTTGTTTTGGGTCACCCCAGACTCATTTACATAATAACAGCATTCCTCCCCCAAGAGGAGGCAGGTGCCTCCCTTCTCAGCTGTAAGGAGGTCAAGGGCCCGACTGTTCTGTAAAGCGACTGTCACAAGTGAGGTGACCTGTCATTGGAGGGAGGAGATGCTATCTATGCTTAGTTCTTCTGAGAGTTTTTGATAGGATTGAGAAGCAGTAGCAGGGCCCGCTATGCCAGTTCCAGTTGCAGGAAGGATCCCTGCCCCACTTAAAAAGGTACAATTAGTGCCCTACGGGAGCGGGACACTTCCTGAGACGGGGGAGCCAAAGTTAGTCCCAGGCCCATCTCCATCTCTCCATCTGTCTCAAGGGTGATGTCAGGGACGAGCCAAAAGAATATGCAAGAAATTGCATTAGGGGGCAGGCAACAGGATAACGTAGTTTTACAAAGGAAATATATTCCTGTTTTAGGGCATGGATGAGGAGGGGGTAAGTGAGTGGTAGGCAGAGTGTGGGCAGGCCCCGCACAACGCTGACAGTCCTCACTGAGGTGAGATTAGAGGAAAGTGAAGAGACGTTTGTGGAAACGTTGCGGGCTGCATTGACAGGGAGGGGGGTGACCACAAAAAGTTTCTCGCGAAGTGGGAGACAGATGAGTCGCTCAGGGACCAGTCTGATTCACTGAGGACTGCACTGTCCCTGCGGACCTGGAACCTCCATGTTCCAGGTAAGGGGGAGCATCGAGATAGGAGGAAAAACATGGGAAGGATGCAAAGGGTTAGGGAGCCAAAGGATTGAAAGGGCACAATGCCACAGTGACATTGCTAAGAAGCATCCTACCGATAGGAGGTAAAGAAGTGCCAGGAGAA